CAAATCATAACTGTTCTATTAAAATGCTAACAATGACATTATCTCCATTTTTTTGTCCCTCTCAGCAAAACCAATGAAATTCTATGATGACAATAAAATGAGCTTACAGCTATAGAATTTTACTTGACTGTTTTATTTTTGCAATGGTTAACTTTTAGCTGAGAACAATTTTTTTACGTCAGTTTTACAAAAGGAGACAAAAAAAGACTTGACTGGTATGTAGTGTTTTATATCCTAGTGGATTTAAATATAAATGAAATGATATTTACGAAGTGACGTTAACTGCAGCTGTTCAGTGTATTTGTGAAACGAGTCAGCAAAGCTGTAGAAGGGAATTAACTATTTTACTAAGTATGAATTACCTCCCTTAATATGCAGCATGCCTTTACTAATAATTGCCTTTTTTTACCTTTTAAGCATGTTCTTTCCAGTTTTAGAATTGTTGTGATAATCATCATTATTGTTGCTGTGTTGTTCATAAATATTTTAAAAAATTATTTTCTATTTTACTTGCTTGTGAAACCTTTTTAGGTACAAAGCTTTTTATTTATTTATTTTTTTTTTTTGGCAATTAAGTTTATAAATGTTTAAAATTTCTTTTAGCTGAAAAAGAAATTTTGAAAAGTTTCTTTGATTTTTTTTTTTTTCAGCTGATTTTTTCTTAAATGAGACATTGATATTGTATCCTAGAGACAGATTAGAAAAAATAATTATATTTAAAGAGATGCTAGTCTGTTCCAAGATTTGTTTTATGAAATCACTAAGACAAAATTTATTAAGAGCTACAAAGAACAAGAAATTGTGGAGAACCATGATCACCAACCTCCTGAAGGGTCACAACACATAGAAGATGAAAAAAGCAAAAGGCTTATGAAAAGTCAGTTTCCAAGCTGATCTGGTATTTTTATTGCACACTTACGCTTTAAATAAAATCCTCAGTAAGAATGAAAAAGGAAAAAATAAGACCCCAAATTCTAACTTAGGAGTGTAATTTTCTTTTAAAAAGGTTCTCTGGTTTATTTCTAATAATCTTAACTGTCCTCCAAGCAATGGTGTCATAAAATGGTTTGTCAACTTTTCTGCTCAAAACAATTTCTAAATGGAAAACTTCTGTAAGGACCCACAAAAGCAAACCATGGAATTAAAATAATTTATTCAGATACAAAAATTAAAACTTTTTGATTTGTATTTTGGAAATTAATTTATTTCTGTAGTTCAAATGTTTACTTCTAAATTGAAGTTTCTCCAATATACCTGCTACATAGACATTAACTTCATTATAACTATCACCTATTTGTATTTTATGAAGCAGTGATGGTAACAATAAAGTCTATGTAATTTTTATATATAAATTTTTTTTTAAGTAGCTACTTTGGTGGTAAATATAATAAATACAACTTATTACTGAATTATTGGTGTAGAATTTATTTATCTTAATCATAAAACATTTCCTGATGAAGTGTTGTCATGTAATTTCATGATTAATATTTTTCATTTGTATTTCCAATGTAAAATCAATGTAACATTTTTTTCACATATCTCCATCTATCTGTTATCAGAGTTTGTATGTAAAAATAAAAAAAACAGATTGGAATGTATACCTTTATTTATCACACACTGCATTGTAAACTTCAAGTACAGAAATCAGTCAAATGTATATTCTTGAAAAGACCTGATCAGCTTTTATAAGTAGTTAAAAGCTGAAGCCAGTCATTTTATTGGGAGTTCAGCTTCTCTACAAATATATGTTGTTTTGAAAAGGAAAATGGCTAAGTTAGAAAAAATAATTTAATTTAGTTTTGATTGTAATTTATAAATGGTTCTAGAAATTGGCATTAACTTAATATTGAATGTCTTGCATGAAAGATTTGTTAGCATTTATGAAATATAGTACATTTTAAAAACCAACATTACTATCTAATGGGAAAAGCTTGCTACAGTCTTAGACACATATTATCAAGCGCCTTAAAAATTATATAACTTAAAATTGTGTTTCTAGATTTAATCCAAAATTTAAATAGAGATGAACAAAAAATAAAACAATTTTTTTTTTAATATATTTTACATATATAATTAGGAACAGATTTTTAACAAGAATTACAAAAATCTTTGTAAGCAAATGTTTTAGGTAGCTTATAATAAATAAAATGAAAAAACTTTGCCAAAAAATAATATATATTATAAAACTTATTAGTTAAAACATCCAAAATACTTTCAGTAGTGAGGAATACAGGTTCAAAATAAAGGAAGGATCATTCAGTCTTCGTGGTCTAGAGCTGATTGAAGACATTTATCTCTAACTTTCTTTTTAGTACATTCCAACAATTTTCTAAGATATTCCACTCAGGAGACTGGTCAGGCCAATTTTTCAAATGTATGATTCTCTTTCCTTTTAAATAATTTATGGTCAACTTCAAAATATGACAGCTTGCACTATTCTATTGAAAAATGTAGTTCACATATCTTTGGGATGTGTCTTCATTGAGTATATGCTTGAAAGTCTTTGGAATTTACACTTCCACTGCATAAAACAATTATGCTTTTTCCATCTCTTCAAATTACTCTCTATACTATAATTGCTACTGATTGTAATATAATTTTCACAATATATTTTTTGGTAATCATGGATTAAGAAGGGGGACTTCTCACTTATTTGGAAAGTTTAATTCATGTAAGAAGATAATGACTAACTGTTGGAAGCACACTGTATTTTTTCTTTTGACATCAGCTTGGGTTTTCAGATAAATTATTTCACTATAGACAATGTTTGACATTGTTAAACTTATATATAGAATATGACTTGATCATTTTTTCAATTCGATGACTCTTTTTGTTTTGTTTTTTTTTCTTTTGTCTTTTAATAATCTGCATTTATGACCAGATTTTGGTCCATCTGAAAAACCTTGTCCTTTAGAACACTGTTTATAAATTTGTTGCACTCTACACTGGGATATTTCTAGAGTCAGTTTCTGCTTATGATTTTCCTTCTTTACAAAGAGCAATTGCATTTTATTGCCTTTCAATTGAAACACATGGAATTTGGCAATAAAATGGGTAAATTGAATAAAATGTGAATTTTATTTGTTTGTAAACAAACAAAAAGAATTTATATTAAAATCTTCTTTGGATCACCATTTGTATTTCTTTAAATTTTGGATTATATCTAGAACCAAACTTTTGAGTTAAATAATTTATATTGCCCTTAACATTTTGCATTGAACACAGTCATGTGAATACTAAGCTTTATTTAAAAAGGAATATGAATTTTTAAATGTTAAGCAAATTAAACAATATTTGTTGAATGAATGATAGGTTTAATTTCTTTTTTTAATTATATATATATAATAAACTTCTTCTGTTAATAGAAGGTGGGTCTGATGTCTTTGGGAAAAGTTCATTTCAACATTCATATAAGAAAATAACCATTTTCCAATAGACAACTGCCTGTTGGAAGTACACAGCTGAGTTGTGTATTACTTCCTGACCCCTGACAATCTATTACTTTCTAATTTTAATGCATTTCTCTTGTAGAATAATTTACAATGATATAACAAAATCATTAGCAATGAATTTATATTATACATATAAAAGGATTCTTTTGTGAATAATGTGTGCATAATTATAGCTGATGTTTACATTTATATAAACACCTACCCTCTACACGCACACACACACACACACACACAATTCCATCGATAAGAGCATTACTTTATTCTGAAATCCTTTTAGGGGATGAAACATGTTACATAGAATTTTTTCCACTGTGATTCAAATACCCAAAATACACTATAGTTCAAAAGTTTGAGGCTACCCCTGTCAATTTTTTAAATTGACCCCAAAAGTAGTTGTTTTGTACTTTAAATAAGAGAAAATTATTATGCATAGTTTAAAAAAAAAAGAAAAAAAAAGTGAGACATGATTTTCTACTAGAAATTTTATTATAACAAAAAGAAAAAAAGGATTTTATGATTAAATTTTGCTTTCGTCAAAATATCCTCCTTTAGCTTTGATTATGGCAGCACACATTTTTGGCATTCATTGCAAAGAATTATCAAAGTATAAGTTTGATAATTGATTCCATTCTTTTTTCAATGACTCTAAGAGCTTTTTTTCATTTTTATTTCACAGTCCTCCCAAGTAAATCCCATGCTAATTCTGGGGGTGGGTTCAAACTTTTGAACTGTGTATAGTGTTTATATATATATATATATATATATATATATATATATATATATATATAGTGATGAAAGGAAAACTATTTTCAATCAAGGCAAATGTAAGGATTTTGCAAATAAGTATTTATAAACAGAAATGTTAGTTTTTCAGAATTTTTAAATTTAAAACACTCATAAATATACATCAGGCTGACTGAAAGTCAAGGTAAATTATGGAGGATGCTAAGTGATATAATTTAATGTCTAATAAATGAAAGTGAGTAAATATTGTTGACTTTTTTTTATAATGTAGTTATTATTTTAGTTGGAGAAATTAATTTATGTATTATATATTTTAAATAATAGTTTTGAATTTAACTATTTATCTTAATTTTTGAAATCTTTTATAGTCACATGTTGGCTTTTACATACATACATACATACATACATATATATTCATTCATTCATCCATTCATTCAAAAGACAAGTTTTGTTAAAGATAATAAGTTTTTCTTATTAGCAGATTAGTTTCTGTATTTTGGTGGTGAATATTTGAAATTACCATTTTTATAGGTTTCTTTAATACATTTTAAGCAAAAGACATAAAATAAAAGAGCTCTTAATATTAATAGTAGTTCTAAATACTGGTGTCAGAGATGCTTGGATGCATACACAAAAAAAGTGTATTGCCATGTTTAGGATGAGGTTATCACTTTTTATGTTAAAGGATCTCACTTGAAAGTAAATAGGTTGAAAGCAGCTTTTTGCAGGAATTTGACAAAGAGCCACATTACAGTTCAACTCTTACTGATACCATTTTCTTTCTTTCTTTTTCTTTCTTTCTAGGTATATGAATATGATGACTTTTATTTCCTGACTGACCCCGAACAGCTGATCTACAGCCACTGGGCTCACTGCCCTGAGTGGCAGCTTCTAACCCACCCACTGACCATGGAAGAGTTCCAAGAATTGCCCCTGGTCAAGTCGTACTTCTTCAAGTGTGGCATGTTCTTCCAGTCACATCAGAAAGGAGTGGTGCATACCACAAAGGGACGCCTTTCGCTCGGGGTTGGTTTCCTTAAGCCAACCAACTTCAGTTACAAGATCATCAATGCTAAAACAAAGGAGGAGGTCTATAAGGGCCAGAAGCTCAAGAACTTTGCACTGCAGCTCACCCATGACAACCAGGTCGTCTTCATCTTTCGTGCTCCTGAGGCTGGCGCCTACTACCTGACAATTTTTGCCCAGCTTCTAACTGGAGATATTGGTGTGAAGAATGTCTACACAGCTTCTGCTGAATACAAGGTGAGTTGATTTTGTTAGCTTTGGGTCCAAACTTTTTTTGTTTTTGTTAATAAGAAAGTATCCATAAATATTCCCATCTCAATCTTGTTGAAATGAGGAATTCTTTTCCTACCTGAAGAGGGATGGGTTCTGCCAGTATATTTTACACAAGGCTCACTACATATGAATAAATACTTATTAAGACATGTTAAGGGAGCTGGTCTGGTGCTCAGCAACCCAGTAACCACAACTATAGATTTTTTCTATTCAAGGATTCTTTTGGAGTCAGTCATCCATGCACCATGTTCTTTGAGATATTGGCGGTCCTGGCTCTCCACAATTTCCTGGCTTTTGTAGTTCTTAATAAATTTTACCTTTTTGCCATCTCTCCCAAACCCTGCTCCACCATCTATTCACTGAAGCTTGCCAAGTAGGTTGTGCATTGCTTTCCTCTCTCTTACTTTCAACCTGTCCTGTGAGTATCAAATTTTCCAAACCCTTCTTCCACATTATGTTCCCCCAAAGTTTCAGTTGTCTCTGATGTTAAGTATAATTGTCCTTTTTATTGCCATAAGTAACAGAAATGTGGTTCAACAGAAAGATGCTGAAAATACCATGGACTGGACATGTGAGCAACATTGAAATCCTGGTGACAATGGCAACAAAAAGGACTCAAAGTAACAAATTAAAAAAATTCTTGCATATATGCAGGGTATGACAGAGAGCTGGGAATGCAAGGAATAAATGAGGTGTTATCCAATGTCTAGATAATTTTAAGTGCAAAATGTCTCCTTGCAAAATTCGGAAAAAAAGATAAGAATGCTTTTATTTTCTTATACTGAATTTATTTCTGCATAAAAACTTAAATTTTAATTTCCTAATAGGTTTTTCCCATATATGTTTAGAAAGCACTAGAAATTAAAAACAAAAACCAAATCACACCAAAAATATGGAAAATAAGAAAACATCAGCCTACAACAATAAATCCAAAAACAGTAAGCTCTCTGTGGAGAGGAAAATACGTATAATTGCCTTCCTGGAACAACAAAAATTACTAAATAAACAAAGAGAATTCATCTCAAAATGCAGACAGAAAAACAAATTCTGTATGTTGAAAATTAAAAACAAATATGAGAAAAAAAAGGAAAAGAAAAAATAAAATTAACAAAAAAAATCTAATAAAAACAAGTTAAGTAAATAATAAACAAATTAATAAACTATAAATGCACACATAAACACAAGTAAATGTAGTAGTAATAATAAACAACAACAACAATAAATAATAAAGTAATCAGTAATAAATGAGTAAAAAAAAGTTAACAGCACTAAAAAATAGCTATAAATAACTGCATTCTGATTGACAATCATTTCTACCCAATAGTCTCTACAATAATTTGAAAAATAACCATTACTGCCCACCCAATAATTGTTAACATAATACAATAGACCTTTTCCCCATAAGTTCTCCATGTCCAGCATATATAAATGGTCAAGCCAAAACAACACACATGCCTTGAAGATTACATTTAAGAATGTAACGCACTGATACAGCTGAGTGTTGATCTCAATGCCAATTTTTATATTTACGTATGCTCTATCCCTGATACTGAGCACTTTAACTCGTAAATATAGTATACCTAAAAACTATATTTTCATCATATATTTTGTTTTATGTACTGTGTCCCTTCAGGACATGAGCTGAGCAATCATAGCTCCCCACATTTTCCTGTCCTTTGTAGGTCTTAGTAAAGTTTGTCTTTTTGCTATCAATCCTAATACCTGTTTTACCAGCCATTTACACATTTATTATCTTGTGTAAATGGCTGGTAGTTTATGTGCTGCTTTCCTCTGCCCCTCTTACCTTCAATCAGTCCTGTGAGAGTCAAATTTCCAAGTCCACTTTTCTTAGTATGTACTCTAGAAATTTCAACTATCCCTTTCTGATGCTACATATAAGTGTCCTTTTTCTTTTCATTTTTTCTGAAACTTTGTCATTGTTCACATATTCAGTCCATGGTATTCTCAGGATCCTTCTGTAGAACCACATTTTCTTCTCCTTCATCTGTGAGGAGATTGTCCAGCATGCACTACCATATAGGAGAACCAATATTTCATAATAGTTCAGTACTCTGTTTCTAATGAAATTTTTCTCTTTCTTAAAACTTTGCTTAGCTTTTGGAAGGCACTTTTCACTATCCCAATGCACATTCGGATTTTCTTTCCCCTATTAAAACACTTCATAGATATTTACATTTCTGTATTTGCTTGATTTTGGAATCTCCAATTTGTAATTCACAATTTGGGCTGTTCCTTTTGCTGACAACCATGTTTTCTGTCTTCTTACAATTGAGATTTTGTCCTTTCTTCTTGCTTTCCTTTACTACCATCATTTTGTTTTTTTAATCATTTTCACCTCATGCAAGGCAATAAAGCCACTGAGACACAAGAGATTACTGAGTGTGGAAGAATTAGGAACAGAAAATAATAATAGATCATATTTACATGTGCAATTTACTACCTGTATATAAAAATAATGGTCCGTTTCTTTAAAATTGTGATAGGTGAAGACAAGTTAATATTCTATATGAATGTAAATGATTGTAGAGCAAGTGAAATGAATTGCCACTAACCATTTGAAAGGTGGGTCTTTACCCAAAGAAGGTGATGGTGTATTGAAAGTATCTTTACAATAATATACTTTTAGAGAAACAACAAAGAATTGATTTGAACTGAAAGGAAAGAAAAAGTGTGCAGAATTAGTTAAGAATGAGGCATGTGTTATTTGATTAAGATAATGTTATACTGAAGCAGGTTTCTTTGGTGAATAGGCAAATTATTCTTCGGGTTTGGCTGGAAAGTTTTTACTCATTGACTGTATTCATCAAATATTGCACCTTCAGATTATCACTTATTCCAGTCTTTATAGAATTCTTTTCTTTCAGTTTTCTGGAACACAGCAAATGGCACTTGGAATGGTTCTTTGCTGAGACAGATTTAAAAAAATAGAGACTAAGTTGATGAAATTATGAAGTTTTATAAATAGTAAAAGAAAAGTGGGGCAAAATGGTACATATGTTGTTTAATCATGTGAATGTGGAAAAGAAGAAATGTCTTAATTTTTTACTTAATAAACTTAATGATGCTTTTTGACATCGAAATATTTTCAAAGTAAACAGAAAAAGACTACATGTTTCTATCAAAAAAGATTTTGACTGTATTCAGTTTCTAGTTTTCAAAAAAAGAGTTGTATGAACGATTGTATACACCTCATAATAATAATAAAAACACAAGACTAAATATTAAATACTGATTTCTATTTTTTCTAATTTTAATCCTCCAATTTATTTTTTGAAAATCCTTTGTAAACCTACTTTTAAGTATTCCTTTTATTTATGCTATTCTCTAGAAATATTTTACAAAATTAGTGAAAAATAAAGGCATGGTATTTAATGAAGACAATATTAAACTGAGTATTTTTGTTTGTTGTTTTTTTGTAACCATGCAAAAAATTAGTTTGGTTAAATTTTCACTCATCCGCTGTATTCAGCAGATATTACTCGTTCAGATTATGATTTAATATTGTACTTATAAAATTCTTTTAATGAAAAATCTTAAGAAGATTGCAAAAAGCACTTTGTCTAGATTTTTGCTGAGAAAGAAATAAAAAAAATTGGTGGATGGAATTAAGTTGGTTGAAAGATGACAGAATATCATAGAATATAATGGTAAATATATTGTTCACTAAAGTTAATGCTGAAAATAATGACCTAATCAAAAACTTTGGGCACTAATTTCATGAGATTAAAACTGAATTATAATTATTTTTTTTACACACTCATTGTTATGTGGCACACATTCTTGGGTAGAAGGATCATTTTAAGGAATATTGAATAATAATTATTTTATGAAATTCGATTATATAATTATAATTTGTTTTTGCAAGCCAATTAGTATATAATACACCTTTGTCTATATTCAATTAATGGCAAATAATTATCTTTCAAGGAGAATATTGAACTGGTTATAACTTTGTGAAATTAAAACAAAATTGACATAATTTTGAGTCAATTTGAGTTGTCTACTGGAATATATTTAGAGCCACGTTTCTGTATAAGTCATTATGTTAAAACTGAAAAGTTTCTTGTTCTAAGGAGAAAGAAGAATAACAATATTACACTGAGATTATTTTTAGGAAATGCATAAAAACATTGGAAAAGAAAACATATCACAAATTATAATTCTGTTGACCAATTTCTTCTTTCCTTCATTTTCAATGCATTTCTCTAGTAAAATCAATTGCAATTCTTATCTATAATAAATTCCTTTTAATTGCATTTTCTATCATAAACTCCTTATTAGTACATTTACAAAAGATATACACTGACATTATTCAGTAATACTTGTGTTAATCCCTGATGACTGAAAATAATTTTGAATTTTCAGTGCATGCTATTCAGACTAAGTGCTAAAATTTACTAAAAGAAGGTTTAATTAAAAATAAAAAAATTGAAATTAGATGCTTTATCATCAGATTTTACTTCCAAATGCAAATGCTGAAGTGGCGAAGCTGTAGGTTTGGTAACAATTAACTGCACAAAAAATGGAATTGGTGGAATGGCTCAAATTCTGGCAATCCTAAATCCAGTAACAAAATTTGCCATGATACATTTTTTATCAATACGAGGCTCAAGAGCCACTCAAGGTAAAGGTTTACTAAATGAGGTAAAAGTGTGCAGGGAGGGAGCGAAAGGTGCATATTATGAGGATATGTAGGATATATAACAGTTGATTCAAGGTTTGAAGATGTTAAGACAATAGTGATCTTGGAAGAGTCCTCTTGGAAGTTCATTCCATGATACAACAGTTTTGGGGAAGAAACTGTTTGAGTAGAACTTCCTCCTTACCAATGGAATATGAAAGAAAAGAGAATGAGTTGACTCTGTGGATCCTTACTGTGAAGGTCTGGACTGGTATAACCAAGGATTGTAATTTGCCTGAATATCTCCCATGAAAATATTGATAGAATGGGGAGAGGCTAGCAACCTTTTATCTGTGGGAAAAGGATTGTAGGTAGGAAATAAATTCATCACCCACAAGGCAGCACAAATGCTTTTTATCTTAGACTGGAGGACTGTGCAGCTCCAACTCAGATATGGCAGTAATAGTCCATTGTAGGTTTGTTTTTGCTCTTGTAAAGATAAATCATGGAAGGAGGAGTAAGATACTTTCTGGAGAACCAAACATTTTTCCAGTGTCTACAAGTATATACAAGTTCCACATATGTGAAAGATTGCTAAAAATACTGGAAATATATATTGTAAACTGAATACCAATTTTCTTTGGAGCAAGTCAATTTGAACCCATCATAAAAAAACTTTTCTCAAGAATGAAAAAATTTACCCCAGTTAACTGAATTTTAACCATTTTTTTTTTTTTTTTTTTTTTTTTCTTAGGTGATTGCTGACACTGCTTCTTCAGATGCTTCACCTGTGCCTGCCTGTTCTGACAGCAACTGGGGTCCAAGTGTTCCTGTTGACCAATTGGGCCTGGTTCCTTCCCACCGTGACCCTGTCATCACTACGGACAATGGCAAAGTGAAGGTTGACTTCAAGAAAACCCGTCCAGCCCACCTTTTGTGCAAACTGCGCCAACAAGGTAGGCCCCCAAATGAGCTTGATAATCTGGTTGCTGATAAAGAGGACGGTGATAAAATCACAGTTACTGCTAACCTCCCAGAACCTGGAGAGTATGGCCTTGAAATTTATGGTAATGACCCGTCCAAAGATGGAGACACCTACACTCACATATGCCAATATTTTGTCCACTATGCACCACCTGAGCAGCAAGTGGCTGCATTCTATTCTGACTCCCCTGAACGCCGTCAGATTTTTGTTCGACCCAATGCTTCTGTTAATGCTGATGGAAGTTACTCTCCTGGAAGCACAGAGGTAAGTCCAACTTTTTTTCTTTTGAAATTCTCAAGACCTGCTCATTACTGAGATTTTATTGTTATTGCATGTCATTCTGTTCTTGACTGTCAGTATTATGAAGACTTCTTTTTTTTTTTCTTTTGTTTTCTAGTTTTTTAATAGTTCAGTACCCTTTACTTCATTGACAGCAAAATGATCAAATTTTAAATTTGAATTGTTTGTCCATTTAAAATACTACATTTATTAGAAAATATATTCAGTCATAAAACGACTACAAAAGGCCATACATTTCAACTTACACTTTTTCCAGTTACTGAAGTGTAGTTGCTAGAAAGAAAGGGAAATTGACTCTCAAGACATTTCTCCCTTTCAGTTTTATTTACATTTGTATGTACATTTGTATGTGTGCATGCATATTGTAATTCTATGATAAACTTAAAAATAAAATACAATATATATATATATATATATATATATATATATATATTTTTTTTTTTTTTTTTAAGCTTAAAAAAATAATTATCTTTAATACCAAATAATAATTTTTTGAAAAGTTCAATAAAATCTTTAAATTATTTATTTATTTTTAGGGTTTAAAAGATTAATTTTTTTTTTTTTATCTTGCCTCCAATTTTGACTTGTTCAACCAAGGATAAGTGGTTGTCCAGACTGAGTGGGACAATATATTATTCCAATGTCTCATTTCAAACTCTGTCAAATTGTGTTTGTGTGTACATTTAAATGGCACAAGTACATGTAAGTCACTCTCACACACCAGTGACATATACATATACATCACATATACACATAAAAAGTTGCATGCAGACAGTGTGTGACTGTCTGAGAATCAGCTCTTCTTTTATAATATAAACTAGCAGGGATACCTGGCATTGCTCAGAAGATCTCTGAATAATAGTTTATTATTGACAATTTATTGATATTTTTCAGCCATCTTATGGAAAATAATTTTTTATTCACTCTTTAAAAAATAAACTTCATTGTTTTTTTTTTTTTTTTTTTTTTTTTGGTTTGTTACAAAATAACTAAATTTAGGAAAATACCACACTACCAATACCACGCTGGGGGTGCTGGGGCTTAGGGGGCTGAGTATCTCCATATTTTTATTCAAAAGACACTATTTTTCAATTTAAATACTAACATAAATACTCTGTTAATGTTGTTTTCGAGCAAATCAAACTTAGATAAAAGTTCATTAACCTTTTTTTCAAATTATTATTAATAAAAATGTTAATAAGCTTAAATTAAAATATTTTTAAACATTTAATTTAATCATATTTTTCAAGTAAAAACTATAGCATGCCTTACTTCTTTGAGAAATATTTACTATTTATTTTGGAGGGGAATTTATATTTTTTTAAGTAAATAAAGTTTTACTTTTAAACATAAATTACTATTTTGAAAGAGAGAAGAAAGATACATTGAGAATTTTTAGTTTTGAAAAGCAATTGTTTAAATTTCAAGTTGTATTTGAAAAGAAAAAAACTTTAGTTAAATAAAAATTAGCAGAGACAGACATTACTAAAAGTCAACATTAGTCATGTTGAATATTTGTTTTATGAATTTAACTATATATTTAAATTAATTTAAAAAAAAATAAAGCTCACTGTAGTTTTTTGCTTTAATAAAGCTTAATTGAAAATTATTTTTTTTATGTTAGTTACAAACCAAACAAACAATGAAGTTTATTTTTTAATGATTGAATAAAAAATTATTTTCCATAAGATGGTTGAAAAATATTAATAAGTCAATAATACATCCACACATACTGACGACTTCCCTTTAGGGGGATACTGAGTCTGTATATTTATTTTGTAGCTGGACACACACACACATACACAAATATTTGAATAATATTAAACTTTTTGTCAAATAATTGTATTTAATATTCTTCTTTTAAATTTACTTTGTTGTTTTAATATTCATTTTTTTTTTTTTTTTTTTTTTTTAAAGTTATGCTTTTATTTACTATAGATGTGAAAATAAATTCAAGAAAATAGAAATTTTAAAAATACATACATGTATAGCGTTTAACATAAAAAAAAAAGGAAAAACAAATGTTAATCCTAATCTGGAATAAGAATTATTACCATTCATTTTTACTTTTTAATTCTGAGAATTTAGAATGCATTCTAATTTTAAAATATCTTTGCAAATACAAATCATACAATCGTTCCACTGGACTTCACTACTACCTTGAGCCTTGAAAACACAACACTTGATGTAGGATAAGATTTTGTATATTGAAAAAAAAATAATTTTTTTTTCTGTTCTCCTGCTGCATTTCTTCTATATTTTATTCTTCAGTTTGTTTTTTCATTGTTCTTGGTTTTGCAATAAAAAAAAGCATTGCATATTTCAGTATTCATTGTGTTTGTATGTGTGTACATATACACATACATATATATATATATATATATATATATATATATATATATATATATATATATATATATATATATATATATATATATATATAACCCGATATAAGAGAGATTTTCTCTGGTCCCAAATTAGAGCCTGTGTTAATGTATATAAAATAGACCAAACCCGGATATAAGAGAAACCTGGATATAAGAGATTTCAACTCTCTTATATCCGGGTTACACTGTATATTCCTCATCGGCAGGACAATTCTGAATTTCATGCTCAACGTAATCATCAGGTGCTGCCTGAAAACTAGCACCAGCACTCAATGTGCTCGTTCTGTCTATCTGTCTGTCCCTATCTATCTATCTATAATATATGACATTGAAGTCAAAACACAGACAATAGTCACTTTCATGCTAAACACATTCGCCAGGCCTGACGATTGCATTTAGCATGAAACGGACTGTCACTGAGTGTTGATTTCAATACCCACTTTTTATTCACATATGCTCTATCCCTGATATTGAGCACTTTAACCCATAAATATAGTCTACCTTAAAACGATATTTTATCATATATATACACACACACACACACACGCACACACGTTTAGAAATCATTGAAACACGCTTTATATAATTCAACCAACAAGGCCTGTCGCTTTGATAATTTTTATCGTATATTTCTAATTTTCAGTTGTTGCACATTAAAAATGTGAGTAAACCATGCAAAGTTCATGTGTTTTTCAAGTACTTTCAACCATCTTCAACCATCTCAGTCATTATCAAGAACTAAATGTTGTGAGTTAATTTGAAAATGCTATTTTCCCAAAAATGCTAGGATGTAGCTATAAAAAATTTGGTCTCCAATACTGACAACATTTAATTGATAATGATCGAGATAGTCAAAAGCACATTTATTTTAATGTACTTACAGAAAATGAAAAAAACATTTGCATTGAAGTACTCCAATCACACTACATCCACTTTGGAAACCAGATGTGCCTTGGGAGGACAAATGAACCCTTTAAGATAAACTACCAAGTGGATTTCACTTGTTCATATAATAACTTAATGTTTTTGAATGGAGAGTATTAGTAAGGTGAATTTATTCCAATTAAATGTTTGTTTTGCCAATTTTGGTGTTTTATTTTCACTTCATAACAATGATTTAACTATCTTCATATGTTTAGTTACATTAATGACTGTTCAGACATTTCTTGAGATGGATTAAATAAACATAAAAATGTTGTCCAATCAGTTTTCAAGTATCTACTAGGCAAGGATTTTTTTTTCTCTGAATGATTTCACTACAAGCAAGGCAATAAAGTCACTAAGAGTCCCACAGGTGAGAAAAGAAACTGTCAGAATAGAACTTAGGCTTTCTATCAATCCTCTCTCTCTCTCTCTCTCTCTTTTTTTCTCTCTCTCTCTCAAGGGTATTTGCACATAAGTTAACATAACACAATGGGAATTGGAACTTGGCTCCCCAATTAACAATTCTGAGCCATTATCCATTACACCACCCACACATCCAAGCTTACAGTATCTGGTATTTCCAAGCAGTCACTCATCTAGATACTGACCATTGCTTAACTTCAGTGATTGTATAGGAACTTGTTTCAACATGATTTGGCTGTAAGCCTCCAAATTTAGGAAACTGTCACTGTTACTCCAAAACGACTGTTAGAATCCATATAAAAGCATTAACATTTCATGCATAGCCCTCTTGACATCAAGTTCTCCTCCTTACACACACACATATGCCCAAAACAGAAAATAGTCTGGTGGTAGACCTGTTTTTACCTGAAACCAATCATCCACACTAGTGGTAAATATGCAACTCTTTCAGCCACTAAGCAGGTCAGAAATTATTACAAATTAGTAATAATTGTATGAAAACTAGTTTAAAATACCCTTTTCTAGGACAATGGTAATTACTTCATATTATGCTCAGAATGACAACACCTACTGAATATTTTTCTGTCAGCCATGCAAGAAGAATGAATGTTTGAGCAATAACAAATTTTTGCAGACACAATTAAGCTGATAACATTAATTTGCAGGATATGATAAGGATTATTAGCCATGACAAGTAAGAATGTATGAACAAAACTTACAATTAACAACACAGTAAAAAGGAATTGTAACAAATTCAATTTTCTAAGGTTTCAAGGAAAAGAATATTAAACTGTTATGCAATATATGAAGCAGCAGAAATGTAGTTCTACAGAAGGATGCTGAGGGTCCTATAGGCTGAACTTGTGAGCAACAATGAAATTTTAGAGAAAATAGAAACAAGAGGAAACTTAGTCTAAACTATCAGGAAAAGACAGTTGAGGTTTCTAGGGCACATAATGAGGAAGGAGGGCTTGGAAAATCTGATACTCACAGGATAGATTGAAGGCAAGAGAGACAGGAAAATTGTGCATGAGATACTTAGTGAGCTTGAGTAAATGGATGGTGGAACAAGGCTTAGCAGAAATAAGACAGAATTTATTAAGAGGTACAGGTGACAGGAAGTTGTGGAGATCACCTACCTTCAGCAAGGACATAGTACATAAAGAAGGTTTCAAGATGAGAATTGGTAGAGAGTATTATATAACACTGATGTGTTCAAGCAAGATTAAA